AATAAAATATTACTAATTTCTTTATGGGTTAGTTTTGCAACAGGGTGTTAAATTGTATAAAAACTTTTGCAATGGCTGTCTATCTTTTCATTTGTTCCAGATTGCATGATAGACTCTTCCAGAACTGTATCCAGAGTGTTTCTCAAGGTAGATCGAAATATTGCCATCCCCTAATCATTTAAAACCATAGAAATTAGTAATATTTCATTTTTCAACGAGGTATTCTAAATAGTCACTTCATATATATACCAATTTTTAATTACTTCCTTATTAAGATTATTTATCAACAAGATATCTTTATAATATATACTTAAAGTTATACATTATATCATATATGATATAATGTACTACTTTGAGCACTTTTGAGGAAGATACCAAAATGTACCAAAATGTCTAGGTCAGCGGTGGCTCAGTGGCTAAGATGCTGAGCTTATTGATCAGAAAGGTTGGCAGTTCGGTGCCAAATTTTCTGGTACAAATCCCTAGTGCCACCTAAAGGAGTGATCTCCCATTACTTGTCCCAGCTTGTGCCAACCTAGCAGTTCAAAGGCACGTAAAAAATGCAAGCAGAAAATAGGAACCATCTTTGGTGGGAAGGTAATAGTGTTCCGTGTGGCTTCAGTGTTTAATCATGCCAGCCACATGACCTTGGAGACATCTTCTTAAGCGCTGGCTCTTCGGCTTTGAAACAGAGATGAGCACTGCCCTCTAGAGTCGGGAACAACTAGCACATATGTGCAAGGGGAACCTTTACCTTTACCTTATCAAAATGTCTTGGCACATATCAATTGTACAGTGCATTGAGAGTTTTGACCCCTCTTTCTTCCTTTTATTGATCTACTCGTTCTTTCCTTCTCTGTCTTCTGAGACAGAACAGCCAGGATAACGATGTAAAAAGACTACTCTCTGTTCACTGCGAGGATCCTGTGATATGCAGGATTTCTTGATAACCATCTTAGATCCCGGAATGTCTCCCAGCAGAATTCACTGCTACTTTAGCTAAAATGTCATGTAGTTCAAAATAAAGTTAAATTGTTCACAATATCCTATGGCTGATTTTGAAAGACCCCACATAAGTCCAGAGTGCAGTAATTTAAGAGCAATGATTTACAGCAGTCTACAATGGTTACCTTTTTTTCTGCCAGGAGTTCTGGGACAAGTATGTGGGGGCTATATTGTGGAAGCATAAAAGGCTCAGTGGGCCACTTTCTGAGCCATTTGTCCACTCCTTTCTCTAATTTCTCCACTCCTTTCTCATTGTCATTTAGCACTATAGTTTGCCCCAAATCAGCAGTTAATTGGGAAATGATGCTGTCACAGTGGGTCTAAGTATTTCTTCCACCCTCTGGTTTAGGTTGGCCTTTAATTCCACTTCCCACAACACCAAGATTGTTGTGGCTCACCAGTGGCCAGCAGAGCTGGTGGCGGACTCAGACAGTGAGGAGGTTGGGGAGGAACATAGGCCAGTCCTGGAGTCTGGGGAAGGCTCTGATGAGGGCTCTGTGTTGGAGGCAGAGATGGGACCAGGGCCGTCTGACAGTTATCAGCTACCTTCAGAGTTGGAGATCAGTGGGACAGAAGAACAGCTGGAGCCTATTCCCGATGTGCACATGCGCAGAGCTGACAGAAGAAGGGGACAGTTAAGGAACAAGGGCTGACTCTGGAGTAAAGGCACAGGTGAACGGTGAATGGCCCCTCTCAAAGGGAATAAAGAGTGAAAGGGGAGTGGAGTTTGCAGGAGACAATTAGTTCAATTAATTAGTGTGAAGATTTGTTCATGACTCTCAGAGACTCCTTGCCAATTATTTTCTTGTACAGCACTGCATTTGGAAGATATCAGTCTGGCAGTTCTCCAACCCTGATAAGGTCCGTGGCTGTAAATTCACCCTTGAAAGACTGTTTGCCGGGACTTTGCTGGATGTGAATGAGAGAAATTCACATTAGCTTAATAAAAAGGGGTTTTGTCAGGACAAGGAGTCTGCTTTGTGATATTGTGAAGCCTAGGTCAGAACAAAGATAAGCTATACCTTTGCTTTTAATTGGCATAGAACTTCTCAGCATTCTAGGCAGAATCAGCAGATTCTTCCTACTTTGGAGCCCGAGCTATGCATGCCACACAGACAACTCTGTGCTCCCTAAATCATCCCTCTGCCTTGAAATGTGGCACAATATTGTGTCCAACAGTTGGTGCTGAAGCCAAACTGGGTGCAGAATGGAGGCCACCCTGTCTTTGGCTTCAGGCAAAGCCTAGTATAGTTACTTGTTCTGACCCCCCCCCCCCCCCCCCCCCCCCC